CACAGTATTAAAGTACCCACCATAGTATTTAAGTTAGCCATCATAAGTAGCACTTTCCATCATGAAATGATGGAAGTTTGTTGGCATATCAAAAACCATCAAATGATGTTGGATCATCAGGATTCGCACTGAAAGCATCAAGATGTTGTGAGGGGACCATCAAGAAGTTTGACTTGGGTATGGCCAAAAAAACGTTTGACTAAATTTTGACCAAAACAGTTTGCGTTTTGCATCAAATTTTAAGACTGTTGTAGGGAAGTGGTGTTAATCCACACGCCTGTATATAAACATGTTTTAGTTATCATAGATCAGAAAACTAGAAAGTTTAATTTTGCTTCAAAACTTTCGCTCAAATTTTAAAAAAAATTTATTCCCTCCAAACAAAAAAAAATTTACCCTATTCGCCAAGAAAAGTAGTGACTAAAACAAGCTATGTTTATTGACTAAAATATCACAATTTAAGAATTTAACTTAAAAATGTTAGTTCAAAGAAAGTTTTTTTCAGCCTATTAGCAAATTTATATTTTTATTTAGGAACAACAAATTGAACTTTGCCCCAATGAGGGAAGCTTCTTCCACATAACGGAAATTCTCCTTATCCACCAAAATAAAGTATGCAAAAAGCGAAATTAGCAAATATCTAACCAAAAAAACTTTTAAGTTTAAATTTCGCCTTTAAATTAGATCATTGAATTAATTATCTTAATAAATTGTGGGGGGCCCCTATTAGGCCTATAATTATTTTCTCTTGTAGGGTACACTAGTGTCTGGTAATATAGTACGTGATCCAATTTGAATATTATGGGCCAATATTAAGGTGGTATATAGGGCCTTGTTGTTATACAGAAAGTTGTGTCAAAAGCAAATTATGGCTAATTGGTAAAAGTTGGTAACCCGAAAAGTTAATTTTTCTTACAAACCCATTGAAGAAACTGTTAACCATCGATAACTGTTAAAAATCGATAATTGCTGAAATCAAGTTAGCTAATTTTTGATCAAAAAATGCAAGTTTTGCTTACAAAGCTTAGCGAAACGAATATCTAGATTGAATTCAAGTACCAAAAGTTTTTGTTAACTCAGTCTTAAATAGTTAGAGCTAAAAAATATTTAACTAGAATAAAAATAAATCTTATAATTTTTATAATTATATTTTTATTTAGTTATATTTCTATTATGTGTTATAATTTTTCACTCAAAATTCAGTACCATTGTATAAAATGGTTTGGCCATCTAAAGTATTTGTTAATCAACTCTCGGTTACCTTAAGGCTCTGGTAATAAACCATTGATATCAAATCTCAATGATAATAAATGTTTCATTCATAGAATTAAGGTTATGAGGATATAACAGGTTAAATTCTCTTCAAACCATTTATTCAAAATATTTGTACAACATAAACAAACTAATAAGCATTATTATCAAACTTAAACATTATGCTGTCGTTATGCGACCAAGCTAACTAGTAAGGAGTATAGTTTTTCTATGCAAAGAACTCCCCTAGCCATTCGTCTGAAGAGGTGGCGGTGACTACGGTTACGAGGTTTAACTATTTCAAGTATGGGGGTCATTATTTAAGATAGGTTTTGACTCGGGTCGATGAGAGAAAGGGAACCAGTGAGAAAAGACGCCCCCCTCGAGGTGCACTATTTCTTGTTTCCATTGTAGCAGACGGCCATAGGCTTCGTGGCGAGGGGAGTTCTTTCTATTGTCAAACTATAAGTGCCAGTTCTTCATCTGTCGGAGGATGTTTATCACAGGGTTGCCTTTTCCTCAAAACCTTTACTCGAGCCGTGATGGCTCAGGGGATAGAGTGTTCGCCTTCCAATCAAGTGAACTGGGGTTCGATCCCGGCGATGACTGATAGATACGAATTCCGCAACCGGCTTGCACCGACCACAGTGCTGACGTGAAATATCCTCAGGGGTAGATGGGTCATGGGCTAGAGTCCCCTTGCCGTCATGTTAACAGTGGGAAGCTTTCGTATTCTTCCTCTCCATGTAACACAAATGCGGGTTAGTTCTATTAAATAGTCCTCCACGAAGGCAAATTTCTCCCAATATTTGATCCAGGTTGGGTTCAGTGAAAATTACAGGTTAAAACTGGTGAGAGTGGCGAGCACTGCAAAGGAATAAGTTAATAAATTAAGAAACAAAATATTTTTTTGTTTAAGATCTTAAAATGCAACTTTTCAATTATAAATGCATTTTTTATTGTGCAGTTCAGACTGCTTTTTTGAGGTATTGTTGTTCTACTATAGCACCTATTTTTGTTATAGGAAAGAGTTAATCCAGCTGTATAACGTAGTGCAACAAAATATAGGTAAGAATATAATTCTCATTTTTTATTTATTTTGACACCTTTACTTGTTTTGACCAAAAATTTAAATTTTTCAATACCTGTTTCATTTTTTTTTTCAAAACTGCAACACAAATGGATAACTACTATTGCTATTAACATGAATTCTGATTTGCAGTTTTGAAAAGAAAAAAAACTGAAACAGGCATTGAAAAATTTAAATTAATCCATTTATTATTTTTTAATCCATATATATATTTAAATCCATTTATTATTTTTTTGTAAACTGCAGCACAAATGGATAACTACTATTACTTTTAACATGAATTCTGATTTACAGTTTACAAAAAAATAATAAGTGGACCAATTTTTTATCTAATGAGTGGATCTTTACTCTCTTGGTCTCAATCTGAATGATTCGAGGGGGTAATTTCAAACATGCTAATTAATTTGTTCAAATGATATTTTAAGTTACGAGATCAGACACAAAAACGTACTTTCTTTGAACAAACATATCGTCTGCTTTGAATAGGAGGTAGCCGCAATCTGAGAAAGAAGGTTCTAGGGCTGAAGAGTGGTCTTGATTTCGTACCCCTCAATGTTAATTTTATTTTTTGCGCATTTTATCATAACTTGAGAACGTTTCAAGCGAATTGAAAGATTTTTCGAGCAATTATAAACTTCGTTTTTCAGGAAATAATTTCAACCGAAGTAAAACCTTCAGTAAGTATTTGTTATATATTTTTATTTTATTCAGTGATGGTAAAAAAAATCAATTCTAAGGTACGCAATTTGAGCAACATTTCAACGAATGCAACTTGAAATGGAGAAGTATAAATTCTGAGCTAAATCGACTGAATAGTTCCTGAGAAATCAATTTTTAAATATAAGACTTTTTCGAACAATGCGACTTTTTCAAAATTCAATCGCTCAGGAACTATTCGACCGATTTTCTTTTTCACCATTCAAAATTGAATTATTTAAAATGATATAAAAAATGTATGTATCTTACTATTCGAAATTTTTTCATCATAACTATAATTTTCATAATTTAAAGTACTCACTGCAGTGTGAAAAATAATTTGCTGTTTCTTTAGCGATAAAAATATTTAATTTGTGTCCATTTTGGGAGTAAAAATACTGCTGAGAAGCTGGTGAAAATTACTTGGTTAAAACTGGTGAAAAAGACTGGGGAACATTGCTGTTTAAAATGGGTGAGAGTATCGAGCACAGCACACTCCCCCCACATGTTTCACTTGCTATACTTTTTTTGGAAAACGCACAGTTCTTCTAAATATTTTTTTTGGCTTCCTAAATTACATGAGTACCACTCATACAGTTTTAGATATTCCAAACTGTTGTAGGAATTCACTTTCAAGGAAGGAAGGTTTCATGCATCTATAGTTCTTTCCCCAGGAGTTGGCACTTCACTCCCCTTCATCACGGGGTATCCGACAATACTATTTCTCTATTTTTGGGAGAAGGGTGTGAAAAATTCTGAACAAGGTTGCTATTTGGCGATCGTATGACTAAAATATTTATTTCGCAATCGTTAGGTGCATTTTTTTAACATTTAATATTTCATAAATTTTGATTTTGAGTGAATAGTTTGTCCATTTTGAGACAAATGTATTTAATTAGAGTAAGGAAAGGTATAATAGCAGATGATAAAGCGAAGTAAGTGACTGAAAAAGAATACGATGTTTGCGCATTAAGGGTTGTTTCAATATCAAGCGCGGAGATGTTTCTCCTCTTACTTCCCGCTCTGAAATCAACTCCGAGGAGATGGAGTCAAGTGTCAACTACTGGTGAAAGAAGTAGAGATTGTTGACCTCTAATAATCAACATCAAAAATTTTATCAGCTCGCTGAAGCACTAAAAAAGGTCCATCTAAAGGAGCCTGCAAAGGTTCATTCCTGATGAAGACGTGACTTTTAAGGCTGGATGCGCTCACTTTTTAAAATGGCAGGAAGCTGAAGAAGTTCTGATGGTAGAGAAATGTTTTTGTAAATAATAGACAAGTTGGATTTGGGGCGAGTTCATTGGAGTAGAATCGAAAAATTCAACTGGGATGCAAAGTGTTGTTCTGCAGACGAGCTCTGCAGATGGTGACTGTAGATCTTCCATATATACAGCTTAAGAGGATAGCCGGTAAGAAGGCTGACCAATTGTCTTGTTGCATAACTATAACTACGTTTATTAAGCATCAATTCACTGTAAGACATGTTAACTCGATTCAGTCTTGAGGTACTTTTGAGAGATGAAGGTTGATGTTAGGTCGTCGATAGCTTGGACTGTATGAAGGGGTTATAAGTAATTCTAGGTGACTGGTTACAAACAAAACAATTTTATTTCAGAGATGTGGCGATGGTTCATCGCTGCAGTTACATGCATCTACTACTACAATTTTCTCCCTGGCACATACGCCCTCTGGCGTCACTTAACATCCCCCCCCCCGATTGAAATTCAATTACACAATTTCAATAAACAATATAACTAACAAATAGAATACATGGAACATATGAATACTATTAGAATCATAAAAAATAATGAACTACTAAATTTTGCTATGATTACATACAATTTGAGAACAAATACAGTAGGATAACATGGGCTGATTAATATACATATAATTATAAACAAAATTAATTCACTCAAATAGTTTCTTCTTAAAAACATATGCATAAGAAAAACAACTTTTTTTTTCATTCAAGAGGTAATATACAAATGTCTCTGGCATTTCTCTTGAAAATTTTACCATTAGGCATACGCACATTTACAATTCTTATTTTTCCATCCCTACTTTGAAATATTTCCACTATTCTTCCAACTGACCACTGTGTGGCAGGAAGTTGCTCATTTTTCATTAAAACAAGAGTACCCTGTTTTACATCGTCCTTACTAAATTTCCATTTGGTTCGACCCTGCAAATTGCTTAAGTAATCTTTCTTCCACAATTGCCAAATTTGTTGACTAAATTTAGTTACTCTTTGCCATTTGGACAAATGAGTTTCCTTGATATCATTAAGTAGAGGTTCTTGAAGGCCATTTATTGGTCTCCCAATTATGAAGTGACCTGGACTTAATGTCCGAAAATCATCAAAGTTTGCTGACAATGGAATGAGGGGCCGGGAGTTCAATACTTCTATTTCAGCTAGAATAGTTACAAATTCTTCAAGTGTCAATTTTTGGCTACCTATTATTCGTTTGAAATGAAATTTAAAAGCCTTCACCCCGGCTTCCCAAAGGCCCCCAAAATTAGGTGATTTTGGGGGTATAAATTCCCATACAATATTCTCGTTTGAGAGAAAGTTAGACAAGTTTTCATTGCGGGAAGTGACAAGTTTCAAAAGTTTTTTAATCTCAACATTTGCTCCAACAAATGTCTTTCCATTGTCAGACATGATTTTAGAACATTTGCCTCGTCTACCAAAGAAACGTTTCAAACAAGCTATAAATCCTTAAGTGGTTAAGTCTGAAACAAAATCAAGATGTATAGCCTTTGTGCATAAGCAAATAAAAACAGCTACGTAAATCTTAATTAACACTCCTTTACGCTGATTTTTAAATTTTACTAGAAAGGGGCCACAAAAGTCAACCCCTGTCACATTAAAGACAAAATTAGGAGTGACACGTTCCCTTGGTAGATCGGCCATTATTTGTTGAACATTTACAGGCTTATTTTTAAAGCAAATCACACAAGAATGTATAATTTTACGACAATTATTTCTGCCGTTAAGCGGCCAGAATTTCTGTCACACTTGAAACAAGAGTGCGTGCGCACCTAAATGAAAATACTTCAAATGATAATGATTCAAAATTACATCAGTTAATTTATGCTTGCTAGGCAGTACAATGGGAAATTTACTATTCGATAAATCAGAGTTTCTAAGTCTGCCACCAACACGAATTAGAGAATTTTCATCCAAGAATACATTTAAACAAGATAACTTACTCCTCGATGAAACTGGTTCACCTTGTTTGAGCCTTTTAAATTCCTCTTGGAACTTACCTGACTGCAATGAAAGCAGAAGCCAATTTTCTGCATGTTTGTTCTCTTCAATGGTTAAGAACCCCTTATTTCTAGATATTGGATTACGACAATTATGAATAAATCTAAAAATAAAGGATAAAATTCGAATTAGTTTAACAAAACTGTTAGAAAGGTTAAGAATTTGTTCAAGGAAGGATCTATCATTGGTGGTAATTAAAGAAACAGATTGAATGTCTTTAGGATCAGGAACAGAGCACTTTTTCAGTTCTTCACAAGGTAGGTCAGTTTCTGGAATGTTCAGAGTCTCATCACACTTAGGAATTACTAATTCCTTTAAGAAGTCTGGTCCGGTCCACCAGGTGACATTTTCGATGAGAGATTTGCAACTAATGCCTCTAGTTACTAAATCTGCTGGATTTTCGCATCCAGCAAAATGATTCCAAGATTCTCGATCAGTGAGAGATTGAATTTCTTTAACTCTGTTTGCTACAAAGGGTTTCCACTTATATATGGAACCTTTTATCCAATACAATGTAATCTGAGAGTCTGTCCAATAATAAATAGAAGATATTCCTTTCCGATCTAACACCTTCTTTACTTCACGTGCAAGTCGTGAAGCAAGCAATGCGGCTATCAATTCTAACCTAGGAAGAGAAATCCTCTTAAGGGGTGCAACGCGGCTCTTGGAAGCCACTAAGTTTACAGTTACTTGATTTGCTGTTTTAATTCTTAAGGATATGGCAGCACCGTAAGCCTTTGGACTAGCGTCTGCAAATGCATGCAATTCTAACACAAAGTCTGAGTGATCAGAAATTTGAAATACATTTCTGGGTATTTGTAAGTTAGCCAATTCAGGAATTTCGATACTCCACTGCTTCCAAGTTTCTTGAATATCTGAAGGAAGCTCGTCGTCCCATGAGATCTTACGCAACCATTATTCTTGGAGAAGAATCTTTAATCTGATGGTGTAAGGTGTTACTAGTCCTACGGGATCGAATATTCTACCTGCTGCTTGCAACACAAATCGTTTTGTATTTTTTTCCAAGTCAAGAAATTCCAGTAGTCCCTTAACTTCCATAGTTAAAATGTCCAGTTTTGTGTCCCAAGACATCCCAAGAACTTTGTGCAACTCGTTTGGGCTTTCTGATGAGGATGAAGGAAGAGTACTGAATCCTTGTTCCTCCCACATTTGTTTTAGTGACTCGTCGTTTGAGACCCATTTACGAAGGTGCATCCTTCATGATAATGTCTGCTTTCCTAGAAATTTTGAAGGCTTCATACAAGTTATCTGCACCAGCTATAACGTCATCGACGTAAAAGCAAGTATCAAGAATATTTGAAGTTTTTGGATATATTTTCTTGAACTTATCATTATGGTGCTTGATAGTCGCTGAGAGCAAAAAAGGGCTTGCGTTGACTCCAAATGGAAGCCTGTTGAATCTGAATACTTGCAATTGAGTATGTTCAGACTTAGTGGGATCGTCTAGAGTGAAAAGAAACCTTAATGCGTCCTTATCATCTTCGTTCAATGCTATTTGCAAAAAAGCACGTTCAATGTCCGCTAAAATAGCAAATTTATTCATTCGGAAAAAGGTTAAAAGATGAAATACATTCGGATTAAGGTTCGTTCCCATCCAAAGACAATCATTAAGTGAAAGTTCACCAACATCACAAGAACTAGCATCAAAAACAATGCGACACTTGGTGTAAACACTGTCCTTCCGAAAAACTGGGGTAAATAAAACACAGGTTTATCAACTGTATCTGAAGCGGATGGAACCTTCTCAATAATTCCCTTTTCTAAGTAATCTTGCAATATTTCACTATATTGAATATACAATTTTTCATTTGAAGTCATACGATTTAAAAGACCTTTAAATCGCTTAGTTGCGACAGTAAGATTATCGTTCAATTCCCTCCAATCTCTTTTCCAAGGAAGAGTGATTTAATATCTTTTATTTTTATAACTAATTGTTTCATTAAATTTGGATAGTGCTTCATCCCCCTCTAAGCATCTGGGTTCATCCCTTATTCCTAGAGACTCAAGGTCCCAAATTTTTTGCAAATCAGTTAAAGTGTGATCTTGTGATAATAAGTGACATTTGTATTCCTTACAATTATCTTTAGTGCCCAATCTTCCCGTTACAATCCAGCCGAGTACAGAGTTCTGTAAAATGACTGAACTATTTTCCAGTTTTATTTGCTCGGTTCGTAACAGTTCGTAAAAAATATCTCCGCCAAGCAAGATTTGAGCACGTTGAGGCTTAAAAAAGTTAGGATTTGCATAAGTCAAATTTTGAGGAAAATTAATTTTAGAAACATCAAGCGGTTTAGCAGGGGTTAATTCTTTAATTTTAGGCACTATCAGCATTTTTATCTCCTTCTTATAGTCTCTATTTTTATTAGAAGAGCAGAGATCGATTTATTTACATTCAAAGTTGCACCATTAATTCCAGTTATTAATGAGTTTAATGTATTCTCCTTTAAACACAATAATTTAACTGCATCAGCAGTAATAGCGCTTATTTCAGAACCGCTATCGAGAATACATAAAAAGGGATAAAAACATTAATTTATTCCTCGCACATAAATTAAAGCAGTTGAAAGCAAAACATTTGAGTAAGTATCATAGACATTACAACTGCTTGGCGGCGCCTTCTGCCAGCTGTGAGAAAGGGCGAAGGAGGAAGTGACAGTTTTCGTTTCCTCTCCACTCATATTACTCATCTCAATATTTGCTTGATTTGAAATAATCTCAGTCAAATTAGAGCAATTGGATTCTAATACAGTCAAACCCCGCTATAGTGAACCTTCAAGGGACCGAAATTTTGGTTCACTATAACCGGGAGTTCACTATATCCGTTACGCAGGCAATTTAACGAATGGTTTCCAAGCTCCTCCCTTTTATTACACATTATTCAAATAAATGACTGAAAAATATTATGTAGTAACAAAAAATGTGTTATTTTTCATTACTCTTCGTCATGCGTACAAAAGAAAAATTTTAATCTTTAGCTGATGAGCAATCCTCAACATCAGATATGGAAACACTTCCCGACTCTCAGATAATTTTTCCCGAATTTCTGTTATTCCGCTTTTTAAACCTGTCTAACCTGCCATTCGAGCTCATAAAAGTAGTCTCATAAAATCGCTTAGCAAATTCATCAACATTTGTCCAGATACAGGAAGATTGCGCCTTTTTCGATTGGTGAACCTTCAATAATGCTTCTTCAACATCCTTGTGATCTGCTTTTCACAACTTTTTTCTGCCATCTAAATTTTCTTCGTGAGCAGAAATTATTAATTGCCTATTTTTCCATATGTTACAAACTGCAGATTTGGATAGTTTCCTGCAAATATCAGCTTGATTGCATCCATTTTCAATTTTTCTGATTATGCCCATTTTATCATCAATGGAGAACGTTTTACGCTTACTGCTCGCCATAGTTAAATTTTAAACACTTGTTTGCAGGATTTTTTTTAACTGAACTGAGAGCAAAAAGGAGTTGAAATGAGGTCCTTATCGACACATATTAGTGTCCAATAATGAATAATTACTCATTCCCTCTGACAGAAAATGCATATTTATCTCACTGACACCTTACAGGTGCATCATCTGCCTGGGTTGGAAATATCTGCTTGGTTTGTTTAGGTATGAGAAAGTGAGATAAAAGAAGCAAACAAGAAGAAATGCTTATCGCTACATTCCCCTCTACGGATGGTTTTGAAAATCGGTATATGTATTTATTTTGAAGTAGAATTTTCAAAATTATTACAAAAATTTTTTTTAAAAAATCAGTCGAAGACAGAAAAAAGTACATTATATCCAACTTCTTCACTTTTTTGGTTCGCTATATCCACAAAAAATAACATTATCCGTGTATGGCAAGGCACAGGACCGAACATTTCGTTCACTATACCCGGGAGTTCACTATAAACCGTGTTCACTATAGCGGGGTTTGACTGTATTTGATTATTTTTGTTTTCAACTTCGGGTTTTAAGAAATTAGCACCATGAAGTGTCGAATGATGATTTCTAGAGCAATGTTTACATTTAAACTCTAATTTTTTACATTGAGATAACATGAGTTTTCCCAAACAATTAAAACACAGATGCTCTTGAGCAGATAAGTCAATGAATTTTTTACATTTATATATTAAATGGTTTTGATGACACATAGAGCAAGAGAAATGTTTATCATTTTGCAAAACGAATATTTTATGTTTGGGGGTTACTTCTTGTTTCGGTTTTGAAACGGAAATACTTTTTTGAACATTTTCAAGAGCTTGAATACGTTTTAACACAAATTCAGTAAAAAATTCTCAGGTGGATAATTCGTTACAATTTAAAGACATTTCGAAAGCCTTTCTTGATTCATTGTCAAGGCGTTGCAAAACAATGTTCACTATTAGTGTCTCAGGGGCCGTTCAAAAAGTACGTACATCCCGAAGGGGGGGGGATTTGCTATTATGTACGGTTTTGTACGATGGGGAGGGGGGGAGGTATTATACAAAGTACGTACTTTATAAACATACACCAAATTTAAATTTGACTTTATCCTACACACTCCTTAAGTAAATATTTAATTTTATTTAAAACATAATTATTTTAATTTTTATGAAAAAGGGGGGTAGACTAATAAAATGTACGTACTCTAAGAGGGGGGGAGTAAGACCTTATGTACGGTAATGTACGAGGGGGAGGGGTTTGAAATTTCTCCATTTTTGTTTACGTACTTTTTGAACGGCCCCTCAGATAATTTATTTTGTTCTAATCCAAGTTGCTTTAATGCTCTTAATTGATTAAGTAAATTATCAATTAAGTTTCTGAAATCCTTACAAGATTCAAATTTAATTTTACTTAAATTTAATAACTCAGTTATATGACTGTTTACTATCAGTCGTTTGTTTTCATATCGATTTTTTAATGCGTTAAACAAGGAAGAATAAGAGTCATCTACATTCTGTAATTGTTTTGCAGTACCAGTTAATGATGATTGTAAATAATACAGTTTTTGAGAGTCACTTAATTGATTGTTTTCATCAATTAAGGTACTAAACTGAGCTTTGAAGGTAAGCCAGTCAGTGTATTTACCCGAAAATTGGGGTAAAGTAATTTGAGGTAGTTTAATGTTTGTATTAGTATTCGGTTCATTCAAAACAGATATTGAACTCAAATTTGAAGTTTGTGGAATAATTAAGTCTAAGAAGCTTACCTCAATTGCTTCTACGTTGTCCTCCATTTCCGTTAGGGAAATTTCAAAGTCTGCTAAATCTGTATCGGATAAGATACTGTAGCAATCGTTTCGAAGATCATCGAACTTCGTTTTTAGACCTCTCAATGAATTGAGTTTGATCTCAAGGGATTTTTGATTTGGGATTTCATCGGTAAGCACTTTCGAAAGCCTAGTTATTTGACCTTTGATGCTTGCTCGCTTCCTTGTTAGAACGACGCTAGACTCGAGCGACGTAGTAGCTTTTGTAGCAGTCGCCATGTTGATAGATTAAATTAATTCACGATTAATTCTGCTAGATTAGCACTCCGGCTGTTACGACCAAACTGTAAGGTCGTCGATAGCTTGGACTGTATGAAGGGGTTATAAGTAATTCTAGGCGACTAGTTACAAACAAAACAATTTTATTTCAGAGATGTGGCGATGGTTCATCGCTGAAGTTACATGCATCTACTACTACAATTTTCTCCCTGGCACATACGCCCTCTGGCGTCACTTAACAGTTGACATTGTCGATTTCTACTTTCCCTACATTTGTGACCTGCGGACGTGCTATGAAGAAGCTTGCTTTCATGTATGGTACACATTAAAAGTTGACTTTCTATATGTTACTGAGTCATCGTCCTCCTCACGCTGTTGCTTCTCCGTTTCATTTATGCGCAACGTGATGCTGCACACACTAGACTGTTAATAGCAGCACAGGAGAGACCACATACACTACCATGAACTTAATACAACTCTCACCACAAATGCTCAAAATCCGGTAAACTTAACACAGCCCTCCCGGTCTTTGGCAAATGCGGCAACTAGTAGTATCCATTTATCGAATTCTATCCCTGATAAAATTTTGGTGGCGGAGTAGGATGGCATAACGACCACTACAATTGTTATACATCAATTGACTAGTATATAAGACAAGCTAACTCGATTCAATTATGAGGTACCTTTTAATAGA